GTGAGACTCCATCTCAAACAAACAAACAACAACAAAACAGCAATAACAAAACATGAAATGATTTAACTGAGTGTTACAGACAATCAGAGAGGAAGAAGTCCCAGGGATTGGGATGGCTGGCGAAGCTTCTTAAAGGACGCACGATTGAACTGGGCCTCAGAGGATGGGGAGAGGTCCCAGTGAGAGCCAAAGGCAGAGGTAAAAATGACCTAGCACAGGAGTTGGCAAATTTTGGCCTGTGGGCCACATCTGGCCCACCACCTGTTTTTGTACAAGCCATGACTTAAGAATTAACTTTTACATTTTTAAATGGTTGGAAAAATAAATAATATTTCATGACAAGTAACAATTATATAAAATTCAAATTTCAGCATCCAGGTCAGGTGCGGTGGCTCACGCCTGTAATCCTAGCCCTTTGGGAGGCTGTGGCAGGCGGATAATTTGAGGTCAGGAGTTTGAGACCAGCCTGGCCAACATGGTGAAACCCCGTCGCTACTAAAAGTACAAAAATTAGCCAGGCATGGTGGCGCATGCCTGTAGTCCCAGCTACTTGGAAGGCTGAGGCAGGAGAATCGCTTGAACCCGGGAGGTGGAGGTTGCATTGAGCCGAGACTGCGCCACTGCATTCCAGTCTGGGTGACAGAGCAAGATTCTGTCTCAAAAAACAAAAACGAAAAACAACAACAACAAAGGTTGATTGAGACACAGCCACTTTCATTTATTTACACATTGTCTATGACTGCCTCACACTACAGTGGCCACTCTCAGTAGTTACAACATAGACCACATGGCCCACACAGCCCAAAATGTTTACTCTCTGGCCCTTTAGAGAGAGTGCGCATGTCCCAGGCCTACATCAGAGGGGTAGTTGGCAGGCTCTGGCTGGAGGGGGCGTTTGCATGTAGGAACAATGGGAGATTAGGGGTAATGGGTGCCAGGATACCTGTTACAAATGCTAGCCCTGCAGGTAGTAGGTTGAAATTACCACCTACATGAATATGTTATATTATCTATATGCATATGGTATGTAACTCCAAAAGGTTCAAAAGGATATTCTGTAAAAAGAAGGTCAGCCTTCCCCCTGCCCTCTGGGTATTCAGACAGGACAACCCCTCTGAGGTCCTCAGTTCCTCACGCTTGGGTATCCGCACACAGATTGTTTTTTCACCTCCAATATTGGGGATGGAGATATTCTTTTTTTTTTTTTGAGACAGAGTCTCGCTCTGCCACCCAGGCTGGAGTGCAGTGGCCAGATCTCAGCTCACTGCAAGCTCCGCCTCCCGGGTTTACGCCATTCTCCTGCCTCAGCCTC